CCTGTATACTGCTCTAAAATAGCTCTCCTCGTTGCCTTATTGTTAGGAGTCCATAATATCATCCTGGTCAATCAATGGAATGAACCTGTGAGATCAGCAATATAAAGAGACAAATAGCTAAAAACAATTCAAAAGTGGGGGTTCTTAACCTAGGACTCCCATAGATAGGCTAGAATCAGACTAACTCATTTACTTGCCTACATGTTTAGTAATTTGAAGAGAAATGGATCTATAAGACTATTCATCTTTCTTAAAAAAAATTTATAGCCTAAAACAGATACTTCTTAAGAACTTTATAAGATAATGCAGAAATCAAAATTTTATTACGCTTATAGCATCATTATTTATAATAGCCAAAATATAAAAACAGCCCAAACGTCTATACAGAAATGAATGAATAAGTAAAGTATGTGTATTCAACATACAATAGAATATTATTTGGCCATAAAAAGCAACAAAATTCTGATGCATGTTAAAACATAGGACAAACCTTAGAAATATGCTAAATGAAATAAATGAGACAACCCTCCCACCCCCGCAAATATGGCATGATTGCACATATATGTGATGACTAGAATAGGTAAATCCATAGACAGAAAGTGTAATAGTGGTTAATAGGTACTGGGGAGAGAATGTAAAGTGTTAATGTTTACTGGGTAGTTTCAATTTAGGATGACGAAAAATTTTGGAGCAGTGACAATGGTTGCGCAATATTGTGAATGTACTTACCAACACTAAATCATACACTTGAAATGACAAAGACTGTTGTGCATATTTTACAAGACAATTTTTTATTAAATCTTTAACAATTTTTCCTCTAACAACAAAAAAAGCAAATTTATTAAAATCCACCCTCGTGTAATCAAGTCTTTCTATAAGTGGTTCCCATTTCCTATTGCTATATACAAGCTAAGTATTAGGTATTGTTAGGTCTCAAGTAAACATCTTATACTAATTCCACATAAATAGGAAACTTTGTAAGAACATAAGTGCTACCTTACCAGAAGTGGTAGGAAATTGCTTTCTATCCAATATGTATGACACTAAAATATAATATGACATTTTGAACATATTGACTTGTTTTTGTAGATATAAAATATGTATTTAAATCAATATTATATTTTTATTATCCCACCATGGTATAAAACTGGAACAAACATACAAATAGGGGCACCTGTCTAAGATAAGACTGATAATACTTCTAACACCACATTCTAGGTAGTGGTGGTGGGGGGAGGGGGATGAATTTCTTATGAATTTGCTTTAGACACAAGGGCTTAAGAACCCCAAACTTAGCCCTGACTGGTTTGGCTCAGTGGAAAGAGCACTGGGCTGCGGACTGCAGGGTCCCGGGTTCGATTCCGGTCAAGGGCATGTACACCATGTTTGCAGGCACATTCCCTAAAGGGTGTGCAGGAGGCAACTGATCGATGTTTCTCTCTCATCGATGTTTCTAACTCTCTATCCCTCTCCCTTCCCGTCTGTAAAAAATCAATAATAATTAAAAAAGCACCCCAAACTTAAATTTTCTTTTCAAAATTACCAACAAAGGAAAACCACCACCATCTGTGTTCAATAGAGAGCAATAGAGAGATGATGTGAAAGAATGCTCAACAGCATTAGTCATTAGGGAAATGCAAATTAAAACCAGAAACCATCATATGCTAGAATTAAAAACACTCACCATACCAAGCTTTAGTGAGGGTGTAAAGCATATTCATATACTTTACATTCACAAGAATGTAAAATGCTACAACCATTTTGGAAAATAGTTAAACGTACACCTACACTATGTGGGTGATAGAAACCAGGTTGGAGGGTAGGGTAGGTAATTAAAAGATTAACATCTTTTCTTTTTTTTAAAAAAGTGTATTTTTAATAAAGGCCCAGGTCCCTCGACCTGGCCTGTGGGGATAGGGCTGAAACTGGCAGACTGACACCCCCCGGAGGGGTCCTGGAGTGCCAGAGGGCACTCTGCAAAGTTGCTGTCGTTCGCCAGCTCCTGAGTTGAGCGTCTGTCCCCTGGTGGTCAGAGTGCGTCATAGCTATGAGTCAGCCGGTTGGCTGGTCGCTTAGGCTTTTATATACATAATAGGGGACTGGTGCACAAAGATTCGTGCATCGGGGTGGAGGGGTTGGTGGGAGTGTTCGAGGGGGTCCCTCAGCTCTACCTGCACCTTCTCCAACCTAGGAGGTCGCAGGGAAGCCCTCTCCAATCTGGGAGTTTCTGTCTGTTTTTGCAATCATATGAGCGAATTGTCTGAGACTCCCAACCCAGTTTGGTTTGTTGCTCACAGAACAGAGGGATTTTTTTTTTCCTTTGCTTCATTGGTAGAGATTTCCTGGAAATTTTAGGATATCCTCCCTTTAATTTTTCCTAGACACTCTGATTTTACTTATGTCTCTCACCTTTGCTTTCCCTCCATCCCCCACCGGAACAGTAACTTAGTCTAGGCACACTTTGATCTAGTGTCTAGGCCAGGGATGGTGAACCTTTTGAGCTCGGCATGTCAGCATTTTGAAAAACCCAACTTAACTCTGTTCTCCCTGTGCTCTGGGCTTCTGCTTCAGGTCCTAGGGCTGCCACCAGAACTACTATTCCCAGAATTCCTGGTGTTCCCCGCGCTGGAAGTGACTGAGGGAGCCACGTCCCCCCAAGGGAGCAACCAAGGGGACGTGGCTCCCTTAGTCACTTCCAGTGCGGGGAACACGAGGAATTCTGGGAATAGTAGTTCTCCCAAGCTGCTGGCTCACCTGCTTCTGCTCTCCACCTGGCTCCTGTGCATGCAAATTAACCCACCATCTTTGTGAGGTTAATTTGCATATTCACTACTGATTGGCTGGTAAGCGTAGCAAAGGGATGGTCAATTTACATGTTTCTCTTTTACTATATAGTCATACCTTGACTTATGAGTTTAATTTATTCCATGATGGAGCTTGTAACTCAAATTACTTGTATGTCAAATCAAAAGTGAACGAGTGAGACATGTGATGCTGGGCTGATGTGGCTTCACTGTGACGTTTGCTGAGCCAACTAGCGGTGGGGTATCTGAAGCTGGCTCGTAACCTGGATTTTAGCTCGCAACTCAAAGCAAAAAATTGGCTGAGAGACGGCTCGTATCTCGAAAAACTCGTTAGTTGGGACACTCGTAAGTCAAGGCCCCACTGTAGGTTGATTTCAGAGAAGAAGGAGAAAGGGATAAAAACATCAATGACGAGAGAGAATCACTGATCAGCTGCCTCCTGCACATCCCACACTGGGGATTGAGCCACAACCTGGGCATGTGCCCTGACCAGGAATGGAACCATGACCTCCTCGATCAAAGGTCGATGTTCAACCACCTAGCCACACCAGCCAGGCTGAGATGAACATCTGGATTATAGTGGTGGCTTCATGGGTATATACATAAATTAAAACTTATCAAATTGGGTGGGGCTATCTGGTGTGAGGTGGGGAGGGGGTTGCTGGCAGCTGCTGGAAGTCAAGGATGGGGTGTGCGCAGGCAGACTGTGGCATGCACAAGCAGACTGAGGTGTGGGGATGGTTGGAGATCCGGAAAAATAAAATATAACTTAACAACTTACACACTTTAGAAATGCTATCCAAAGTGTATGGCAAATTATACCTTAATAAAACAAACAAAACAGCAAATACAAATAATTTTAAAAGCCAGTATCACTTACAATCAACATATTGAACATGTGAACTTCAGTACAATGGGAGGTCTTAATTAAGCATGGGATTGACCCAATGAGTTCTGTTTTTAAAATATCATGGTTGCCCTAACTGGATTGGCTCAATGGATAGAGCATCAGCCTGCAGACTCAGTGGTCCCAGGTTCAATTCCCGTCAAGGGCATGTACCTTGGTTGCAGACACACACCCAGTAGGGAGTGTGCAGGAAGCAGCTGATCGATGTTTCTAACTTTCTATCCCTCTTCCTTCCTCTCTGTAAGACATCAATAAAACATATTAAAAAAACCCCACAAACATGGTAAATCCTAGCCCTGGCCAGCTTGGCTCAGTGGATAGAGTGTCAGCCTGCGGACTAAAGGGTCCCAGGTTCGATTCCAGCCAAGGGCACATGCCTGGGTTGTGGGCTCAATCCCCAGTAGGGGGTGTGCAGGAGGCAGCCGATCAATGATTCTCTCTCATCATTGATGTTTCTATCTCTCTCTCCTCCCTTCCTCTCTGAAATCAATAAAGAAATATATTTTAAAAATAAATAAGTAAACAAACAAAAAAATAAATAAAATATCATGGTAAATCCTTAGGGGGACTATAACACACAAAAGTGGGTATTAAGAAGTCCAGCCATAACTGGTTTGGCTCAGGGGATAGAGCGTTGGCCTGCGGACTGCAAGGTCCCAGGTTCGATTCCGGTCAAGGGCATGTACCTTGGTTGCAGGTACATCCCCAGTAGGAGGTGTGCAGGAGGCAGCTGATCAATGTTTCTCTCTCATCGATGTTTCTACCTCTCTATCCCTCTCCCTTCCTTTCTGTAAAAAATCAAATATACTTTTAAAAAATAATAATAAAGAAGTCCAGTCAGGAAGCTATTGCAGAAATTTTCTCAAAATAGCTTGAGACTAATATATGTATACTAGAGGCCCGGTGCATGAAAATCATGCACTGGGTGTGTGTGTCCGTGTGCCCCTCAGCTCAGCCCACACCCTCTTGCAGCCTGGGACTGACGCTCTATCCACTGAGCCAAACCGGTTTTGGCCTGGGACCCCTTTTTTCTTACGGCCCACCTGCAGCAGAGGCGGGAGAGGCTCCTGCCAAATGTGCTCACCAGCCACGAGCCCAGCTTCTGGCTGAGCAGCGCTCCCCCTGTGGGAGAATACTGATCACCAGGGGGGCAGCTCCTGGCCCCTGGTGGTCAGTGCACATCATAGCGACCAGTCGTTCCGCTGTTCAGTTGATTTGCACACTGGGGTTTTATTATATAGGGTGGTAAAATGGAAATGGAGATATTTTTGTGAATAAAAGAAAAAGACTTCAAAACATATGCTGTTTATTCATATCCAGCACCTAGAGCAGGGGTGGGCAAACTTTTTGACTCGAAGGCCACAATGGGTTCTTAAACTGGACCGGAGGGCCGGAACAAAAGCATGGATGGAGTGTTTGTGTGAACTAATATAAATTCAAAGTAAACATTATTACATAAAAGGGTACCGTCTTTTTTTTTTTTTTTTTAGTTTTATTCATTTCAAACGGGCCGAATCCAGCCCGCAGACCGTAGTGTGCCCATGACTGACCTAGAGGCACAGAGAGCTTTACACATTTTCCACCTCTTATATCACAATAACCTTGGCAAGACAGTCAAAATTCAAAGAGGTACAGAAACTTATGTAAGATCATATAGTAAATTACCATGTGCCTCATTCCAAAGGAAAGCATTGCATAAAACCTTATGGGTAACCTAGCTGGTTTTGCTCAGTGGTTAAGGATTAGGCACATGGATTGAAGGGTTGCAGGTTTGATTCTGCTCAAGGGTACATACATCTGTTGCAGGCTTGATCTGGACCCGGCTGGGGCATGTGCAAGAGGCAACTAATTGATGTGTGTCTCTTTCACATTCATGTTTCTCTCCCTTTGTCTCTTCCCCTCACTTCCACTCTCTCTTAAAAATCTCTCTCTCTCTCTTTTTCTCCCTTCTCCTCCCTCCCTTGCACTATCTCTAAGGAATCAATGGAAAAATATCTTAGGGTGAGGATTAACAAAAACAAACAAAAAAACCTTAAGAGTAATCAGCTTTTGTCTGTCAACTTCATAAATTATAACACAGAACTGCACAACTCAGAAACTTTGCCCAACTACTTTAAGTGACCAAACTGCCAAATGTTCAATTATGATTGTATATCACTTTGGACTACTCATTAATTCATCATTCCTCTTTCCAATATCAGCAAATTCATATCTATCTCATAAAATGATTTATAAATCATAAGCCTTAATAGGGTAAAACACAAGCCTTTGGTTTAAATTTTTTAAAATACAGAGATACCTTTATACAGATAATTATTTCAGGGAGGAATAAAAGGAGTTTTAGTATCTCCCCCCACTCCTTTATGGTTTGAAATTTCTAAACAAAGTACAAAAATTACTTTTGAGCCCTAGCTGGTTTGGCTCAGTGGATAGGGTGTCAGCCCCCGGACTGAAGAGTCCGGGTTTGATTCTGGTATAGAGTGTTTATCAGTTGCAGCTTGATTCCAGTTCTAGGGTTGGGGTGCATGTGGCAAACAACCACTCAATGTATCTCTCTCAAATCAATGTTTCTCTCCCCCCACCCTTCCCACTCTCTCTAAAAATCAATGGAAAATATCCTCGGCTGAGGACTAACAACAACAAAATTTTCTAAAATTAGTTTTTAAAAGGGAGGGGGGTTTACCTGAATAATGAAAGTTGTTGTGCAACTATGACATAGATTCAATATCACTGACAATCCTAGCATATCTTTTTTTTTTAATTGATTTTTTACAGAGAGGAAGGGAGAGAAATAGAGAGTTAGAAACATTGATGAGAGAGAAACATCGATCAGCCGCCTCCTGCACATCTCCCACTGGAGATGTGCCCGCAACCCAGGTACATGCCCTTGACCGGAATCGAACCCGGGACCTTTCAGTCCGCAGGCCGATGCTCTATCCACTGAGCCAAACCGGTTTCGGCCTAGCATATCTTTAATTACTCCAGTGACTAGCACACACACCCCATCTGGAAATTATTCTACTTTACATATTAAAATTTACCCGTCGTCTTTAAGTCAAAAATATTTAGTTTTTGATTTAACGCTCATCTCTGCAAATATTCGCTTCAAAACTTAACCTCAAAGATATCAATTACATAACATATAATTTATAAAAGTAAAAATATAGGGAAAGTCATTATTTCCTTAAAGTAGAAGAATTCAGTAAATTGGATAACATCTCAATAATATGCAATTCATTAATTGAATAATTATATATGGACACATGTACCAAGAAATAAGAATGCAATAGACATTCTCTGATCCTTAACATCATTAAGCTAACATTTTGAGGTATTAAGAGAGTGAGAAAAAAACAATGCCAGCCACGTATGAGAAATGTTATGGCGCTGGTAGTGGAGGGAAACTACAAATAGTTAACATTTTTTCTGGCCTAAAAAACCCCCAACAACAAAGCAATGTAGCAGATTTTGTATTATATAAATCTAAATTTACTAAAATGTTTTATTATAGCCCTAGGCAGTTTGGCTCAGTGGATGGAGCATCAGACTGTGACTGAAGGGTTCTGGGTTCAATTCCTGTCAAGGGCACATGCCCAGGTTTGCAGGCTCAATCCCCAATAGGGGCATGCAGGAGACAGTTGTTCAATAATTTTCTCTCATCATTGATGTTTGTATCTCTCTCCCTTCCTCTCTGAGTTCAATAAAAATATATTTTTAAAAATGTTTTATTATGAACATTGTATCTCCCTGGTCATTTTCAAATTAAAATGTCATTTACTGAGTGGTTTTTTTAAATGTCCTTACTTGGCTAATTATTACCTGTGTGTTTTTTGCTCAATGAAACTGTATTCATCTGTGATCCACTGGTACAGAATCTACTAGGAAACATGCAGCAAGAGACATTTAAACACAGTCTAGGTTTGTCAGAGATTTTCCTGGCAAAGTGCTTTAGACAAGAAGCCTGAATTAAAAGTACCATTACCCTAAAAGAACATGTGAAAATTAACCGTTTATGAACAAGCACTTGAAATCAGATTTTAAAAATTGCTAGATGGAAAAAATGTACAAAATTTATTTTGGTTTGTTGTTTGTGTAGCTAAACCTACACTTCCTTTAAAATATAAGCATTGCAATTTGTATGAAGGAACTTGTCTAAAGGGCCCGACCTAATCATTATTCCCTTCTTTTAGCACATTCTGACCCTTACTCTGATGTAAGGAATATTTATATAGTCTTAATACCTAATCATGCTTTGTTCTAAGCAGATAGACAATATGTGCCCAGGAAAATCTGTAATAATAAAAGCTATGCTAATTAGACTAGATGTCCTTCTGGACAATGCCGTGATGGGGGCAAGACAGAGGCAGCTGCTGTGGCGGGTGAGGGCTGAGCCCCTTGCATGAATTTCATGCATCGGGCCTCTAGTAAATATATATGCTAAGATAAAGAAGTAGTGCTGACAGCTTTAAACGACATGACAAAGACAAAGAAATGTACAGTGCCGAAGCCGGTTTGGCTCGGTGGATGGAGCGTCGGCCTGCGGACTTAAGGGTCCCAGGTTCGATTCCGGTCAAGGGCATGTGCCTTGGTTGTGGGCACATCCCCAGTGGGGAGTGTGCAGGAGGCAGCTGGTCGATGTTTCTCTCTCATCAATGTTTCTAACTCTCTGTCTCTCTCCTTTCCTCTCTGTAAAAACTCAATAAAATATAAAAAAAAAAAGAAAAAAGAAAAAAAAGAAATGTACAGTATTTGAAGGGTTATACTAATCCATTTCCAATACCAAAGTTACTTAAAGATGAAGGAAAATTAACTTGGAGAAATACTAGCATATTCTGTGAAATACAAAATCATAAGCCTGCAGAAGCCTTCCCAGTACTGACAATGTTAAAAAGAATTATAAAATTAATACAGTACTGAATTTATTTTCCAATGCTTTACTGATGAGAAAAGAACAGAACAGAATTCTCTTAAGCCAAGCAGTATAATCACCACTGCTTCCCCTAGTCTTTTCAAACAAGACAATAGGCTCTTGAAAGTAAATAGTCTTAAGCACTCTGAAATATTATATGTTGGATACTTGCATATTAATATATGGGAGCTCTTGCGATGTCACAATAAAAAACCAAATATATATGCATATGAGCATAACCAATGGACACAGACAGCAGGGGGGATGACGGCACGTGCTGGGGGGTGGGAGCGGCCAGGGAGAGGTCAATGAGGCAAAAAAGGAGACTTATGTAACACTATAAATAATTAAATTTAAATTAAACAAAAAACAAATATACCACACTCCCCTTCATGTAGAAAGCAAACAATGTTGAATCCTCAGGTAGACCCTTAGCCTCTAATTTTATAAATAACAAATACAATCATGACTTTGATAAACGAGTATAATTTTAAATCACTTAAATTTAAACCTGTGGAAAAAAAAATTTAAACCTGGAAAAGGTCATGGAATATCATCTAGTACAGTGGTCGGCAAACTCATTAGTCAACAGAGCCAAATATCAACAGTACAATGAGTGAAATTTCTTTTGAGAGCCAAATTTTTTAAACTTAAACCATATAGGTAGGTACATTGTTATTAACTTAATTAGGGTACTCCTAAACTGGCCTTTGCTAAAAACGTCCTCAATCTGATTGAGGTACGTTCGATGAGGTCGACCCTTTCCAACTCTCCCATCCACATTTGTCTTGTATACTTGTTTCGTCTATCTCCTTTCCGAAAATAGACTTCTGTGCATGGGCCACAAAGTTTCAATGGCACTGTATGTACGTGCTCGCATGTGATATTTTGTGGAAGAGCCACACGAAAGGGGCCAAAGAACCACATGTGGCTCACGAGCCGCGGTTTGCCGACCACTGATCTAGTACAATCTTCATGTGATCACAAATAAAGGTCTAGATGTTTAAAAACAAAAGAGGGGCTTATATTACAGTAAAATGGTACCATCTTAAAGATCCATAGTCAAAGAAAGGGGCATCTATACTAATAAAAGCCTACGTGGTCCTCGTGTCCTCATGTGTGAAGCTGCCGCAAGATGGCATGTGCACAGCAGAGGTGGGGTCTGGCAGCCGCTCCGCACAGTGAGGCCTGGGGCTCCTGAGGTTCCACCACCTCACACGGAGGAGGCAGGTTGCAGCAGGTGAGGGCAGTTGTGGGTGATCAGGTTGGCAAGGGAGTGGTTAGGGGGCAATCAGGCTGGCAGGCAGAAGCAGTTAGGGGCAATCAGGCGGGTAGGCAGGTGAGTGGTTAGGAGCCAGCGGTCCTGGATTGTGAGAGTGCAGGCTGGAATGAGGAACACGGCTCCAGCCCCTGCAACCATTTTTTTGCACCAGGCCTCTAGTCTATATAATAAAAGCCTAAGCAACCGTTATGGCGGAATGACCATAAAGACTGGTCACTGTGATACACACTGACCACCAGGGGACAGACGCTCAGTGCAGGAGGTGCCCCCTGTGGTTAAGTGTGAGCTCATGGCTGGCAAGTGCAGTGGAGGCAGGAGCCTCTCCCACTCCACGGCAGCACTAAGGAGCAGCCAGCAGGCGGGCAGTAAGAAGCGAGGGTTCCCCACCCCCACCTCCTCCCCCCAGTGCATGAATTTCGTGTACTGGGCCTCTAGTATTTTAATAGAAGAAAATATCACCAAAAGTAGTATACTCCCTATTATAAAGTACAGACTCTATGTTTTTCAGAGATTAAAACAAGTGATATAAAGTAGGCAATAAAGGCAGTACATGAAAAATTAAAGTA